GGGGAGGAAAGGGGGCTGTGGGGATAGGCCTGGGGAGGGGGTGGGTGGGGGGAGGGGGGGGGAGGTGCTAGAAGGAAAACGCCAACCTAAAGACAACTCACACCCAAGAACACATGGGGAATGAATGATCCCAGACTAGCAAAATCAAGAGGGGAAGTGTGCATGTACACATAACCATACATGCATGTCCATGCATAAGAGTGAGCATACACACACCACCACCACTGCTGCCACTGCCATCATCACCACCATCACCATCACCACTAAAATGTCAGGAAACAAAAATAATTGGTCATTGATATTTCTCAATATCAAAGGTCTCAATTCTCCAGTAAATAGACAAAGACAAAGTAAAAGAATGGATTGGTAAACAGCATTCATCCTTCTGTTGCATCCAAGAAACACACCTTAGCATCAAGGATAGACATCACCTCAGAGTAAAAAAATGGAAAAAGATATTCCAAGCAAATGGACCTAAGAAGCAAGCAGTGTAGCCATCTTAATATGTAGCAAAACAGACTTCAAACCAAAACTATCAGAAGAGATAGGGATGGACACTACATATTCATCAAAGGAAAACCACATCAATAGTGCCATTGCAAGGGCACTCAAGTTCATAAAAGAAACATTACTATCTTAAATCACATATTGACCTCCACACACTGATAGTTAGGACACTTCAATACCTACTCTTACCAACAGACAGGTCATCCAGACAAAATCTAAACAGAGAAAGGCTGGAGCTAATGGACATTGTAAACCAAATGGACGTAACAGATTATTTATAGAACATTTCATCCAAACACAAAAGAATGTGCATCTCAAAATTCTCCAAAATTGGCCAAAGCAAGTTTCAACAATACAGAAAAATTGAAATAATGCCTTGCATCTTATCTAACCACCATGTTAAAGTTGATATCATCAACAGAAATAATAGAAAGCTTACAGACTCATGAAAACTGAACAACTCAAGACCTAATATAAAGTGGCTCAGGAGAAATCACAAGACTTTCTAGAATTGAATGAAAATGAATACACAACATACCCAAACTTATGGGCGTTGCAGGATATTTGATCACACTATGAACCCCAAGATTACCTTATTTTCTGGAAAAACCTGCCTCTAGCTGTGGTATGATCCTAGTACATGCCTTTAATCTAACAGTTTTCTGTTTATTGTTAACAGGATTAAATAAAATCAATCATATGTCAAGAGACAGAGCAAGCAACTAGTTGACTGGAAGTAGCAACAGAGAGTAGGAGGTGGGGCAGGAAGATGGATAGAGAGATGTACAGGAAGTAGGAGGGAGGAACTTTTGAGTTTGGAGGTCCTTTCTGGTTTGGAACAGCGGAGGAGGAAGGTCAGCTGGCTGCTTTTTCTGCCTCTCTGAGCTATCAGGTTTTCACCCTAGCATCTGGCTCCTGTGTCTTTAATGGTAAAATGAAAGATAGAGGCTTAGTTAAAACAACAATTGTCTCCCTACATGGACACAACCAGGTGGTGGTTGTGGGAGTGTAACTGTGCCTCAGATATAAAACAACATATGGAACACAATGAACGTGGTTCTAAGAGGCAAGTTCATAGCACTGAGCACCTACATAAAAAAAAATGGAGAGAGTAAAAAAATTGGACACTGGGCAGTAGCGGGGCATACCTTTAGTCCCAGCACACAGGAGGCAGAGGCAGGTGGATCTCTCTGAGTTCGACTGTGGCCAGCCTGGTCTATGAAGTGAGTTGCAGGATAGTCAGGGCTACACAGAGAAACCCTATCTCATACCCTCCCCACCTCCCACACAAAAAAATAGGGCAGAAACTATGAGGCTAAAAAGAAAACAAAAAAATCCCTTTAAAATATTTAAAGAAGTTAAGAGCAGCACACCGTTCTTCAGACAGCTGGAACCCTGCCACATGCTGCACTCTGCAACTATTTTCTGGCCTGCCTGCTCCAGAGGCTGGCCTACCTTGTACTCTCGGTTGGCATCACACAGTTTCCATTTCCCATTAGGCACTCCCATCCTCTCATATTCCTTGGCAAGGTCAATGATCTCCCAACCCTTCAGTCGTTCGGAATCATTTTGTTTGGGATTGTAAGAAAATGCATAGAGATCTTCATATTTTCCTGTAAAACAATAAAAGTCAATACAATGTCATTTATAAGGCAGTGGACTACAAACAAAACTAATTTTCATGATTTTTCCCTCCTTTTTTTCTTCTAAATTTTAAGAGGTAGCCAAGACATGAATATACCTGAATCTAGTATTTTCTAAGTTCCATAAAACAAATGACTGTAGCTAAAGGCATATGTATAGACCTTAAAGTGAACCATCACGTGGGTTCTGGGAACCAAACTCAGGTCCTCTGGAAGAGCAGACAGTGTTCTTAACCACTGAATCATCTTCTCCAGACCCAGAATTAGCCATTCTTATAGGTCAGTATGGATCCAAACCAACAAGGATGTCAGCTCATAACCATCTTTGTACCTTGGTTCCACCTAGGACAATGGAATGTATCAGGCTCTGTGTGCTCCGACAGAACACGGACCTGCTCTTACTTCATTCATTCACCAGCTAAACCACTCAACTGAAATCCATACAAACAAGTAATCTAAGTCATGCTGAGGACAGAAGCCTTCAGAGCCCCAGGCTTGTGTAATGGTAAGATTCATTCTTAGGGCACTTATCCCTCCTTCCTCCATCTACTAAGATGGGGACCCACTCCTGTCTCTGGCGCATCTACTACCCTAGCCACTGCTGCCAGAGGGCCAGGCCCTTCTGTGATTTTCTATTTAGTAATACCTCTTTCATTAACAGAGAAAACCCACATTTAAAAAAGACAAAAAACAAACAAAACAGTGAGCAACTAGGGAACTAGGTTGGTCAGTAAAGTGCTTTCTATGAAAACAACAGGACCTGAGTTCAACCCCAGCACCCAGGTAAAAGGCCAGCTGAGGTAGCACATGGCTGTAATTCCAGTGCTGGGGAGGGGAGGACAGGGGGCTTCCGGGGCTTGCAGCCAGCCAGCCTCACCTAAACTGGCAAGTCCCCGGTCCCAAATGACTGTCTCAAACAACAAAGCAGATGACCCCTAAGTAAAGACACGGGACCCTGGCCTCCAGACACACATGTACACATCTGCCGGCACATCTGCACACACACACAAATACATATACAATGTGGTACTTGCCTATCCAGAAAGTTAGAGTGTTAATATAATCTAAGACAACTTCAGGCTGTAATATAAAAGCCTTTCTTTACATTGTTCCTTCATTGGACACCATTCTTACAGTTCAAAGCAGTAGTTTCTATTATTTCTAAACCATTGTGGGGCATTTCTAGGCCACTGAGGGGGTTAACAATACATACAGCCTAACTATAACATAAAGATGAAATAATAACACCTGAAAGTGTGCTGGAAAACCCATCTCAATTGAGTATGAGAGCTCTAGCTCTCTAAGAACAGCATACCTTGTTTTGACAGTTGCAGCAGAGAGTTGTAAATATCATGGCAGTCTCTTTCCCTGGGAACAATGAAATGTACAATCCTGAAGTTCTTGCACTGAATTACGAGCGGACATCCAGAAGTGGTCAGGGCAAGCTTCTCCACAGAGGCAATATGGTGGTGTAGTATCTACAGCATAAACAAATGTCCTAGTTAGCAACACACAAGGCGATGGCATACGGTCTTCTCCAGAGTATAAAAATGTGAAGGCTCAAATAAGCCTCAAATGTTATATGCTAGCACACTTAACACATATCAATGCTTGATGCTTGAGCCAAGACTATGTTGTCATTTTTGTTAGTTTCTCTATGTTGGTATATGCTGGCTGGATGAGGGGGTTGGGCCAGAGGCCAGCAGGAGAGTGCCTGCCCAGCATGTACAAGGTCCTGTTTCGCAATCCAAACACTACAAAAGTTTTAATTAATTAATGTCTACCAAGTGTATGAATAAAAAAGTCTCACTACATATTTGGCTTGATGGGCATTTGAAAACATAAAATTTATCATCCCCAGTGCTCTTTCTCAATACCATTTCTAATCACTTAAAATATCTAAAGAAAACATTTTTGGAGAACAGGTTTTAGGTTCCTGAATGATAAAAACGCAATCACAGAAGAGATCCAGCAGTCGTAAATTAACTTTAAAAGGAAGCATCCTGTTTAGTAGGTTATTTTTATATCTGTTTTCAGTGGAAAGGAGAGGGATGGAAAACTATATGTGTGCTATGTAATTATGATTATATTATGTTAATATTTCTAAGTATATTAACTGTACATATTAAACCTAAGGCTGACATGCAAGATTAAACACATAAAGGTAAAGCCTTAATGAGATAATGTGTCCATGAAAACTGCACTAATGGTTCATGCACACACAGAACTCATACTTACGGAATAAATTCCACTAACGTTTGCACTAATAGGCCTAGTGCAAAAGTTGTTCATAACCACCTAACAGTGCCATCTCCATAGAGAACTAGGGATAATAACCTATAAGATAGGTGAATTATAGATAATACTGTATCTTTATTAGGGTCCCAATTAAGACCCCATATCATTTTCAGGAGAGTGACAAAGGGGCCTGACATCACGTGAGTGTAAAAGAATGCCTATCCGTACAGTGAGAAGAGGGCCCAATGTCAAAAACTAGAACCACAGTGCTCCCATTGTGCAGACTCCAGGAGAGACTAATGGGATACACTGCTAAGACTGCAGGAAAGATGAGAAGAGAGGATAGGAGAGGGGAGGGGAGGGGAGGGAAGGGGAAGAATGGAGGGAAGGGGAGCTGGCATGGCTTTGCTGTCCCTCAACCTGCAAGCACTTTACCTTACTTGCTGCGTTCATATATCAACGACAGCCAGCTCTACAAGAGAAAATGAAAGCCTTCATACTCTGAGCTGTACCCCAGGGGTGTGTGAGTCCCTGTCCTGGGAGGCAAACAACCTCTCATCTTGGTTCTACTGCTCAGAAATGGGTAAGAACAGCTGGGATTTACTGAACTGCTACTCTAACACAGGCTTTATCTATTTTCTCTTACTTAATATTCACAAAAGTGCTCCATGATGACAGATACTGTGCCCTTTTTACACAGGTGTTAAGCAGAAACACTGGGTATGCCTTTCCCTTCCCTTCTCTCCTTGCAATAATCCAATCTTCACCAAGATACCAAAAATGTCAGAAACCAGCTGGGTGTTAGTGGCACACGCCTTTAATCCCAGCATTAGGGAGGCAAAGGCAGGCAGATCTCGGTGTGTTCGAGGCCAGCCTGGTCTATACAGCGAGTTCCAGGACAACCTCCAAAGCAATACAGAGAAACCCTGTCTCAAAAACAAAAAGAAAAGTCAGAAACCTGCATTCACTGCCTTCCATTCAAATAGGTGTTTCCAAATGTCCCAATATCCCAACACTCAACAAATGGAACGTTGTCAAGGTCACCTGGGTAAAACTCCCTGCTAAAAGGAGAGAATGCTGAAGAAAGCCCCACGCCCACCCCCAGCCTTCAGATGCCTGTTGGCATTTTTGTCTGATAGTAACCTAGTCACAGTAGGAAGCACCCAACCTGCAAGCAGCAGAGCCAGTCTCTGAGCCAGTGCTGCACCACTGCACTAAGTCCCCTTTATTACTCTGCCCGGACTGTGTGACACTGTCTGTGTCAACATATCCCTTGGCTTCAACTTCTGCACCTATGAAATGGGGATCACAAAACCTGACAGGATCGGGGCTATAAGAAATGTGGCCGAGACACTCCCTCTGGAGTATGCCATCCCTTTCCTGTATTTCTACTTAGGGTGTAATTTGCATTTTCCTTATTTATCATTTGTTTCTCCACACTGGAGTATCTCCATGAGAACAGAAGTTTTATGCTAAGACTGGCTATTATTTCCAAAACACCTACAATAGTGATATGAAAACACAGCAGGTATTCAGTAACTTTCTGCTAAAGGAATGAGTGAATAAGGGAAGAAAAGGCATCCGGTAGTCATGACAACCTTGAAGAACAAGCTGAGAGGACCAGCAATCTGAAATATCAACACATACAAAAAGCTACTGTTAACAAAGAAGTGAGACAGGTAAAGTGTAGCTGATATGTGAAGACAGCAGGGCAGGCAGCTCAACAGCAGCCCCCACATACACAGAAGCTTTAATCATGAGAGAACTGGGTCCAGTGACAAAGGGAATGAAGCAGCCAATAAATGGTATCAAATAAATGGATGTCAAACCATACCCCTAAGCCTTTCCTAGATGTTAGGTTAAGAATTGACGTGTGGACAGTAACACTTGAAAGCTTCAGAAAAGAAACCACAGAAGCCGCTTCCTTATACTGACACACAGGATGGCTTCTTAAGTGTGCTACAAATGAAGAAAACCATAAAAGGTAAAACTGAAAAATCTGTTAAAAATGTGAACTTTAGTTAAAAGACATGTACACAAAAGCATACAAAAGACTAGCTGTAACTGGGAAAAGCCAATGATGACACACAATCTGATAAAGCATCCAAACCCAGAACTCTTTATAGACTCAGAAGTCAGAGCTGGGGGTGTAGTTCAGTGGTGGAATGTTTGCCTTGCACAGTCAAAACCCTTCTCTAGCACAAAAAAATTAAAATAAATTCTAAAAGTCAATAAATAGAAATAAAAAGGAAAGATAATCCAACAGAAAGAAAACTTAAGAGCCAAAATATCCACAGGGATGACACCTCTGGACTCAGCAAGTTGTCATGCCAGTTGCTCCTCTGAATTAGATAGGCAGAGGTCTTTAAGGTGGCAATGCCACTGTTGCGGAGGAAACAGGAAAACCTAACACTTCACTGAGAGGAGTAATCTGAAGCAGCCTTTATGAAGGAATAATATGAAAGTTTAAATATGCATTTCTACAAGACCTAGCAATGTCTTCTCACTCCCAGGAAAATGTCTAAGAGAAACCCCAGCACTTATGTAGAAAGAAATGATTTTGTGAAGCTGTACTCTCAACATCACAGGATTGGGGGCATCAACACCTTCATCCCAGTAAAAAGCCCAAGCTTAACTTTGGCTCTCCCCACACTTCACTGCTAATAATCTACTGACTACATGTATTTCCTGTACTATAAGCCATTAACATATTTTATGTTATACAGCAGACACAGGGAAAGTACATGAGGTCCCTGGGCCATCACTTTTACTGCACTGTGCAATTTCCTGGAGAAATAAACAGCATCTGCTCATAATCTGATGGTCAGCAGCTCACAGCACTTTAAGCAGATTCTTGGAATTGTTCATCTTGCCGCACTAGTAACACAAGTGGCTACAGAAATATTTCAGTAGCATACTATGTAGTACGTTAACTCCAAATGATGTCATCTACACCTTGTGTCTATATGTGCAAATTTTGATAATTCTGTATAATAGATTTTATTTTGTAATAGTAAATGAAAAAAATGACCACATGTTTAATGCATCCATGACACATTTAACTTTTTCTTGATTTATGCACTACTTCTATGCTTCATGATTTGCCTGTTAATTTTGTTTCTTTTCAAATTGTAATCTAAAAAGAAAACAAACAAACAGGAAAAGAAAGAAGAGTTGAAGAAATGGCTGGGCAGTTAAGAGCACGTACTGCTCCTGCAGAGAACCTGAGTTTAGTTCCCAGCACCCATGTCAAGTAGCTCACAAACCACTGTTAGCTCCAGTTCCAGTGATCTAATGTCTTCTTCTGTACTCCATGTGATTCATACATGCGCACAGCCCTACACAGAAATACATATGTACACATAAAAATAAATCTTAAAACCAAAATAGAGAAAAAAAAACAATTCAGCATATGACTGGACCCATACAGTTCAAATCTAACATGCTGTTGAAGCATCCACTGCAATCTATCTGCGTATGTACACTTTTAAATACACTTAAGAGTATGCCTACAATGCATATTTGGATATATATAACAGTTATGTAAGTATACCAAAAAAATAAATCACCTAATGTAATCTGTCTTTAAAATGCTATGGAATATACTATACAATCCATATGATTGTTAATACGTACAACCATTACCTAGACTTTTAAAAAACTAAAGGAAGAGGCATTTTCTAAGTTTTCACAGAGGCTAAAAATAGTGTATTAACATAATTCCATTTTACAAATGATATAAATGACTCATAGAAAGGAGGCAGAGGTCACTTGAAGACAGAAAAAAAACTGGATGATCTGTTACACAGGCCTGTGATTCCAGATCTCCAGAAGATGACAACAAGTTCAAGGCCAGCCTGGGCTACAAAGCAAGACCATGTCCAAAACAAAAAACAAAAATAAAACTAACAAAAATCAACCAGTCCATCATTACTTCAACAGTAGCTAGTCCTGCTATAGTCTACCTTACCCAGGTTTCTTTTTGCTGAGTGTCAATAAATAACAGATGTGTGGCCGTAAGATACAGGGTTCCCGTCAGTGACTTGTTGTTGGTACTAAAGCGGTCAAGTAACTTCACTTGTTCAACCTAAGAAAGAAAAAGATGTTACTTTTCATTTCAAACATTGTCTTTTTATTTATGTTTCCTGTGATAAAACACTGACCAAATGCAACATAGGGGAGGAATAGGCTTGTTTAGCTTATACTTCCAGGTCCAAGTCCATCATTAAGGGAAGTCGGGGTAGAAACCTGAAGCAGAAACCATGGGCTCAGGCTTGGCTGGCTTGCTTACACAGCCCAATAGTATCTGCCCAAGGAATGGGGTTGCCCATAGTATGCTGGGCCCTCCTTCATCAATGAACAATCAAGATTCACAGATGTGCCAACAGCCCAATCTAATCCAGGCAATTCCTCAATTGAGGCTTCTCCTCTCAGATGCCCCTACACTGTGTTAGGTGGATGATTAAGGGTAAGGTGGTATCGATACTTTTGTCTGTTGTGGGCTCCCTATCCGAGGTGAGTAGAGATGTATGTAGTATCTCCCCAAAAAGTTTTATCACATGACATTATTCAAAATTTCTAGAAGTACATGACTGGGAAGAGTAAATCAGGAAACCACTGTTCGAAAGCTCCAGCTTATGATCTATATTCCACTGTTGCATCAAACATGGCTGTTATACAGCCAGCCCTGGCTCTTGCTCTCCTACAAGGCTCTCTTCCACTCAGCCCAGTGGCAAGCCTTCTCCTAGACTCACCTATGGCCTACCTCCGAAGATAACTCTTACTTAGAAAGTTAATTTATTACTTATGTCACCTAGTCTCTTTGCTGAGTTCCCCGACACAAACTGTCCTGAGTTGCATTGGCCTCCTATAGTGTCTAGGATGCTGAGAGCCACAATATTACATAACTATAATAGTATTCATTTAATGTCTATTAATATTGGTGTACACACACACACACACACACACACACACACACACACACTGCTGCCACAGTAGTGCAGAGTAGGACTGGGACTCCATCTTATAAGAAGAACACATAAAATAAGTGCTACCACCATAGTTTTTAAATGTTCAGCTCTATCACAGTAGGCTTTGGACAGTTCTTTACAGTATGTACATTGTCAAAATAGAGAGCTCACCATCATATCATTAATTCCATGTTTTCCTGATGTATTTACTTTTCTCTTACCAAAGAGCAAAACACTCCCATTATGAAATGATTAATTACACTGATCATCACCAGGCGGTGGTAGCACACATGCCTTTAATCCCAGCACTCAGGAGGCAGAGGCAGGAGGATCTCTGTGAGTTCAAAGCCAGCCTGGTCTACAGAATGAGTGCCAGGGCAGGCTCCAACGGTACAGAGAAACCCTGTCTTGAAAAACCAAAAAAAAAAAAAAAAAAAGGGCTGATCATCTCACCCTTCTTCACTCTCTATAACTCTATAATTTACTTCTATGTAGAAAACACTGTTTGAACAAGTAAGAACTTAAGTGTATTTTAAAAACTTAATACAAGACTTTACTTGCATGGTTAAGCAATAAATTTATTATGGAGACTTCCAATTGGAAACTCAAGAGATATGGCCTGACGTACAACTCAGGTCTGACAGTGGCCTGACATACAACAAGTGATCATTTTACAATGACTCAAGAACACAGGAAAGCTGGGCGTGGCCATATCCTGGAGAGGCTGAGTAAGGATGACCAGGGTTAAGGCCAATGGGGGAAGGGCTGTGGGAAGATGGTAAGAAAGCTTTCTCCTCCATGAAGATTTCCCTTGAAGGTCAACATTTCTTTCATTGTCTAGGACCATTTCTTCCTCAAGTCAAAATATGGCTTTATTTTATCACACTGAAAACTGAAACTTCAGTTTAAACACCTTTAAAGACCAACAGAACCAACCACTGTTCATTCCTCTCCAATTGTCAAGACTTGGCTGAAAAGGAACAAAACCAACAACAAAAACCAGACTATTGATAGGCTCTCTTACTTTACTTCCCTTTACAAGAGCAGTAGTGACATGTATGTAGCTAAGGGTTATGGGAAAGTATCAACACCACTGGAGAGATCAATGACTTGGTGTACTTCAAAGAGCTCCTCAGAGAAAATAAAAAGGGTTTTAATGGGTGTGGCTATGTACAAACAGGAAGTCTGCTTAAAAGGAAGTCCATGTGAAGCTAAACACAAATATTTCTCTAACCCAAGCCTTACACTGTGATTTTTTTCCCTATATGGAACAAAGCTTGTCTGTATGGGAGACAAACTCAGTTTTCATTCCAGGTTTTAACTACTGGTTCCTCACAGCTCTGCATCTGCAGGACAAACTAATACATCCTATGCTGTGCAGGGCTCGAGGCAGGAAAGTGCAGCATGTGTCTCTATCGACAATAGTCTCAAAATGAGCAAAAAAGAAAGACGGGAAGGCATCTTACACACCCCAATGAAGATTTTGTCTACTCCTCACTGTTACTTTTGCTCAAGAGCTCATTCTCCTTTTTGGAGGGAAGGGGAGTAAGTAGATTTGCTAGGAAGCCCAGGCGACATTGGACTTTTCCATCTTCTTTTTTGTTTTGTTTTTGTTTTTGTTTTTTTGAGACAGGGTTTCTCTGTGTAGCTTTGGCACCTGTTCTTTGTGGCGCTTTGTAAACCAGGCTGTCCTCACTCACAGAGATCCGCCTCTACCTGAGTGCTGGGACTAAATGTGTGCACCACCACCACCTGGTTGAGTTTTTTTTTTTTTTCCTTTATTCTTTTCCATCTTCTTGCTGCAGCCTCCTGAGACCTGGGATTGAGGCATTACAGGCATGCCTCACCTTGAGCAGCTAAGGGTCCATTCCCTATATGAATCTTATCCACTATCATTATATTATAATATATTATCATTAGCAAATACACTGATTTGTTAATGACTCCCCAAAATCTGACTGAACACCCCAAGATCTTACTGTTTACTATACATGGAAGAATATTTCCTGACATTGTAAGTATGATAAATTCTTGCCAAACATTATTTTCATTTTTACAACTAGCAGCAGCTAGCTGCTAACCAGGACAGCAGTTCCAACCGTGTGTGTTCTTGCTCCTGAAGTCAAACGCTTAGCCTGGCATTATGTTGTCTGCACTTGAACATCTTCAGAGCCTTGACTTACTGATTTCCCTCCCTCCCCTCACAACATTTCACACATGACTTACACTATGTCATCCACATCAAGGTGCCAGCACTGGAAATCATCCTGCTGACTTCCTGACTCATCCACTCACCCACCTCAGGCTCTGCCCCTTCCACCAGTTTGAGAGTACTGACAAAGCTAAGATGAAAGCCTGTTCAAGTGTATATCTCTCCCACTAAAAACCAGTACCTGGGCAATCACTGACTCCTTTTTTCCTCCAGGTGGCTAGAATCATGTTTGATACAATGGATGTTTACTGACATCAGATGAACTGCCAGGGAGAACTTACTTCTCATAAGGAGAAAACAAATGAAAGATGCTCACAGTATACCAGTGAGCCCTTGCTGAAATCAGTCATGGGATTTATATAATAGGGTTCTTCTTTGTCTCATTATTCTGTTATTCCCCATGCTGCCTTTATCTTCCACAGTGGCTGACCAGCAAACACTCATTTAGTAATCCATGCATAAGCCATAAATTAAAAACAAGTAGAAAAACTACTAGAAAACAGTTACTGTTGACCTTGCTCTACCATCTCTCTGTCCATCCATCCATCCATCCATCCATCCATCCATCCATCCATCCATTTACTTCAGCAATACAATTCTTACTGGTAATTTCCGTTCTCTGTCCCTAGTTTATAACCTAATGAGGGAAACTCCCCCTCCCCCTTAGAGTGTTCTAGAATTCTCTACAAGGTTTTCTCAGAGCACTATATAAAGAACTATAGGATTCTTATGGGTCTCCGTCAAGGTGGAAAATTTGAGTTGAAAATGCTCTAATAATTTGTGTGCTTATTTCCTGCCTCCCATCTTACACTCAAAAGTTCTATATTTAAATGTGGTTGGCTCTGTTCAAGATTCAAGGTTCAGCTGTTCACTGGGATAACCTCCAAAACTGCAAAGGTGCCAGTCCCCAGCCTCACCTCAGCTCTACCTCATCATGGGGAAATGGAAACCAAGGCAGTATTTAAGAAGGTCTGTTCATTCTTGTACAACTGTCCTTCTACATCTTGGGCTGCCCAGTCTGATTTCTCCTCCTGCTGCTACTCCTCAACTCACACAAGCTAGCTTCCCTGTCTACCTTCAGGCTGTTTCCCTAAATACGTAAGGCTCAGCATGTCTAATTCTCCCCCCTTTAAAAATCATTTTATTACAGAGTTGCCCCTTTAAAAACACACAGAGACATGCACACTAAGTCCAAGTCCTTGAACATGTACATAAATACACAGTATTAAAGGTTCTCTCAGTAAAAATCTATGGGCTACTAACTCAAGGCTAACCCATCTGGGTCTTACTCTTTCACCTGTAAAATAAAAGCAACCACTGCCAAAAGAGGAACAGGTTAGAAAATGAATGTCAAGTATTGTACCCCGGGAGTCCTACAAACAGAGGCAATAAAATGCTCAAACAAAATGAAATAAATGTTTGCAAAAATTACTACAGTTATCTAGTAAGGCAGCCTATGGTCTGCTAGTCCTCATTTCACCTATTTAAGTTCAAAAAGAGAAAGGAAAAGAGTAGTTTAAGAAGAAAATTCAAGGGCCAGCAAGATGGCTCAGCAAGTGAAAATGCTTGCATCTCTCCAGGCATGACCATCTGAGCCCAATTCCTAGACCCACACATGGAAGAAGGAATGAACTGACACAAGTTGTCCTTTGGCCTTCACACACATGCCATGGCACATGTGTACTACAGCACATATCCCTCACCCCACCTCAATAATTTGTTTTTAAAAGCCAATTTAGCATTCTATGTGCTATAAGGCTGCAAGATAAATTTCCTCTAATACATACTGTTCAGAGCAAGCACCTTCTTCACTTGGAGGAATGCAGAGCAAACAGAATTCTCCATGGAGGAGACATAACAGCATTTTATCTGATGAAGGAATGCAAACAGGCTTTTAAGTGTGGT